ATATTAAAGAGCTGGGGCAGAGTTGGCCATTGGCGCCAGCATTTGTCACGTTTTGACATACGCGAGAATGAAATAACACTTTCCTGTTCAGTGTTATCGCGATAGCGCTAATAGAAACGCTAATGGAGCGTACAGAGCGTGTACGTCGGTACATCCGAGGTATTAAATCAGATTGCTGTTACGCGATACCTCGTTCCGCCTTTCAAAATGTCTAGTCGGTGATCCCCACAAAATTCCTCCCTCCCGCCCCGAAATAAGTCCCATCCCCGCCCACCCACGCTTTTACTTTTTCGGCCAATGCTTATCTCTTGTCGTTCTTGCCTTCTAGCTTCGACTCGTTAACATTTTTCTCTTTGTTCCCCTTCTTTGTCACCCATATTGGGCCAAAGCTTAAAAGACACGGCATACCTTTAATCGTTTTTTACCCAAAAGTACGATTGTAACATACCACGATGATACGGTAACGACAACGATGTTGATGAGAAGAGGCCGTGGTTTCACCCACCCGTCCCAAACGCCCCTTATTTCCCGCCCAACCCCATTCGGCCTGCTGCATTAAGCGGCCTTCTGGAAACAAATACGAAATTGTAAAAGAGAATTCTAAATCGATTTACTGGATATTTTTAGCAAACAATTATGTAGACAAAATATAATGTCTTTAAGAAAATCGTTTAACTTACCGCTTTTAGGCGGAGCTGTTCAAACGCCGTACATGTTATGTAACCGCTCACTCAGCTGCGGCGGAAATTGATCGGAAAATCGTTTCCAATTCTCCTCACCTACTTGATTTTTGAAAGTAAACAATATCTAAACACAAGATAAGAATCATAAGATCACGTCGAGAAAATATTGAGTTCATCAACTGATTAGCTATTGTTTTTTACCTTCTGGAACATCTCCTTTAAATCCTCTTTCGGCGCAGACCACGACGCCACGGCGTCACAAAAGAAGATGAAATCCGGAACAACACCGGCTGGATTGACAGTGATCATTTGACACATGCCTCTGAAGGCAGAATCCTTCTCTTCGTTATCTCTTATGCTTCGCAAAGAAGTGCACCTATTAATAAATTAATAATCGACAATCTCATTAGATATTGTTCAACTTCCTTTAAGGAGAAAATACTTCGATCAATAAAACACGCGGCACTTTACAGCATTTATTTATATTAAAATTATTACGTTTTACTCGAAGACTTACAAAAACATTAACGTTATCATTAACTTTATCCTAAATGATCGAAATATTTTTCTTTACATAATACAATTACATAAAAAGATACATATGTATATTTAACAATATGGCTCTGGCAAAAATTGAATAACTAGCCATTTACTTTCATTCCCACAATTCACACATAGATATTTTTTTTCAAATTGCATTCGACGGAATACGAAACGATTGGCTTGCTGTGAGGCCAGTCCAATGCGATAATTAGCACTCTTACTTCATAGTTCAGAAGAAATTATCATTATTAGATTGTGAAAAATGTATACAAAATTTATACATAATTTTCAAAATTATAATTAAATCAGCACTGGTATTAATAGATAGATAAAAATTGCAAATATACTAATTATTGCAAAGATCGATCTCTGACTTATAATTTACGATGCTAGCCTACAACTTTTTATACTATATATTATACCAACTATATTGGGATATGTATGACTGGCGTCATATTTCACTTACTGTCTCATTAAGGCTGGGTTTACATTTGACATTTACAGCACGGCACATTATATAATTAGAACAATTTGACAGAGATCGAGATGCCAAATTACCAGCATGCAGAATCAAATTTTTATAATCGAGCGAGAAAAAACTAGATGTAAGGTATCCGCGATCTTCCGAGTAATGTGGCAAAAGACTTAACGCGGGAGAACGCGGTGACAAATAAGAGTGACAAATGTAAACCTATCCTGATTTTGATACTCGGATAAACAGGAGAGCTCATAACAAACTTGCATGGTGGCAAAATAAAGATTAGAGAATTATATCATGTAACGAATTCAAATATAAAATGTTACTGCGAATACTGCAAAAACCATTGAGCAAGTTCATGCTGGTAACTGCAGGATGGATAGCGTTTTCATTTATATTAGCATCCCAACCGACTCAGCGGAGATCTCTGCTCTCGTTATAATGCGAGAGAGAGAGAGTAAACAATCATTTTGCAGTGTGGCTCACCATTGTGTTCTTGCGCAAGAGTTCTTAGCAGCCCCTGATGCAATTACTCAGGAATCGGGAATGTAATAATGTATAATAATAAAGAGTGCTAATAAAAATAGAAGATAATATAATTAATAGAATAATAATATAATAAAGAAATTTACACACCACTGTCGAACAAACTGCTGTAACATGGGGGCGACGTCGTGGGGACACACATAACCTAGGCGACCGATCGTTATGGCTACAGTTTCATTTTCAGTTTCGGTAAGTAGACAAGTGAAGTGTAGTGAAGTGACCGGAAACACAAACAATAAGACAAACTGATAGAGAACCAACGATTAACTCAGGCGAAGAAGAATTATATATGCTCTGCTTGTAAGTTCCAATTAATAATTCTCAATTAATAATTTAGTTAATTAAGAATCAAGTGACATTAACAATTAATCGAAGACAGTGAGAACACAGGTGAAACATATGAGATACCGACAATGAAACATAGGCAATACCGTGCTATTGTAGCTGCTGAAACAATAAACAAAATTAGATAGCAGCGTGCGAGCCCGTGTGATTTTGTATAATACCGGACGGGAATGTCCAAGGATGTATTCCACTTAACGAATGCAAAATTTGCGTGCATCATTTCATCCTTTTTTAACATTTGATAAACAAGGAAAATGAAATTTTGCTCGTGAGTATTGTAAATGTTAAATGGAACGTACCCTCCAAATGATCTTTCTCTCTCTTTCTCTCCCTCATTCTCTCTTTCTACTATATGTATAAGAAATATATGTCAATAAATAAGAGAACAATAAAAAGAAATAACCAAATTTGCATTATGATCTTTT